ACATACAACCGTTATTCCCCACAAATACAATATACCCTATTTACTCTTCGAGTACCGGGTATAACTAGTAATGGCATGTTCTTGCCGAGATCTGATGAAGGATTTGAAGATGTTGGACGAAACCGTGGGTTTGAGTCCCGCTTTGATGGTAGTTACAGCATGCAAAAAAAGCTCACTTTTGTCTGAATTGTCCCTGAGAGACAGGAGCCTTGAGGCAACCCACCTTTGATATCTTTACTGAAGTTATACAGTTTTAGGAATCTAGACAAAAATTAATTGACAATCCAGTCAGTATATTGCGTGGAAATGTGTTCATAATCCATTAGCATTTGTAGAGTTTGAAGCCTAACGCAGTTACATGCATTATCAATGTCTACTACTACAATTGCAACGAATTTTCCCCTTCTCTTCTCACAGGCCATGTTATTGATGAGATCATTTATGCACATGGCTGCTGATTTACCCGTTTGTTAGGCATAATATCGTCTGGGCAAGGTGTTACGTTTTTCTAAGAACATATCTAGGCGACTCGTTCTTATAAGATTGAGCGTTTTAGCCAATACCGAGATGAGGGAGATATGTCGATAGTTTTGATAGATATGGATATCCTTACCCCTCTTTGGGATGGGAATGACTTTGATTGTACGCCATTGATCAGGGAAAAAGCCTACAGTGTGTTGAATCACTCTGCTGCTATATGAATGTTTTTTTAATACCTGGTTGGATTGTTCGTTTTTGCTCATAACTTGCGGTATTTGCTCACATGAATTGTTGTTGTTGTTATTTTTGTTTACCATTTGAGGAAAGTTTTTGTCATAGTCTCGAATCTGATCATAGTTTTGTTGAAAGGAAAATTGCTTTAGAGCTTCCTTTCTTGCCAGTTTCTTAATGGCCATGACTTTATTGCTGTCGCCTTCTCTGGCCCAAACCTGACACTTGTTCCTCTCAAACGCATTGTGCCTATCACCTTGACATAAGATGCACTTGTTGGTATTGCAATTTTCGTTGCACATGTTATTGCCACATTTCTTGCATCGCTTTTGTGCGACCACAGTTATAGCACTGCCTAATTGCAGGAATGTAATGGGTAACTTTTAGCACTAACCAAATAGTATAGTATAGCGAAACGTCACTGCTGAATGTGCGTCTCGAAGTCCTAGGCCCCTGCCAACGTCGCAGTATTAGCCAACTACAAGTATTAGTGCGTGTAGAACATGCAGCTAGAAGTCCCAGGTAAATTTGTATAAGTGCGCGTAGAGCACGCAGCCAGAAGTCCCAGCTACATCTGTATAAGTGCGCGTAGCCAATGATTTTTTAGCGCTCCAAACCGGTTCTGGCTTGATTCACACGGACACTGCAAGTAATGTATGTGTTGGTGCGCTCACTTTCTGAAGTGCGATGGAACGAAAATTCGTTTTGATGATTTGATTTTGTTGTGTTATTGTTATTGGTGTTATTGTATGCTGTAATTGTTTTAAATTCAGATTTTATACTGCTTTATTCAAAACAGTATGCATATTATGGAAACGCCGTCGCTTCTCGACTTCGTTGCTGCCGTATTATCAACATTTTTACCAAATCCATCTTTTACAGACAAATCTTTTCAGATAAATATAAAAACATATATATGTATATATGCATATACATGTGTTTATATATGTACATACATCTTTCAAATTTCTGTTCTCGTCGTCGGTTATTTTCTCGACTTCATGTGCGCTTTAATTGTTAGCGCTTGAAATCTTTTGCATATTTTTTTTATTCTGATCTCACATACCATTCGAAATGAAAACCCTCAAGACTTTATGAAGAAGCTTCAATATCAAAATAATATTTGTTTTTTGTGTGACCTTTATATGCTTTATATAATTTAGGATGAAAGGGGTAACGGATATAAACATCTGAATATGTATACAAATAATGAATTACAGCAATTGACTTTGCGTTGCAAATATTTTCCATTAGAGTATACTATTTGGTTAGTGCTTTTAGCGAGCAAATGTCATAAATTCATACCCGCAAAAGCAATTTTCACTGTCTCGGTTGGGACGAGCACAGATTTATTTATTTCGTTCTTTGTTCTCCTAAAAATTCTTTCAACTGTTTTTTATCTTAATTATTGAATTAAGATTGTCCAGCAGTTTCAGATCTGAGATATTTGTTGGAATACCCCTGATGACACCCACAGACTCAGTGAAATTCTTGGGAATATATATATCGATGTTTAATTTTTTAAATTCGTCGTTTAGAACCATCTAATTGGCTTCATAAGGGCCACTGAAATAAAGTTTATACAGATTGCAGCAAGAGGGGTTATGCGGCTGAGACCAACAAGATTGATGTGTCTAATATTTTCAAATAAGTATAGGTCGCTTTTAATATTGTTGTTTTCGAACAAATTGCTTCGTTTTGTCGATAGAAGTACACTGGCTTCTCCTTTGAATTAGTGCTCATACAAATAAATCTCTCTTTGTTTCTTATCGTCTGTTTGCACATCTCTACCGACATTTACATTAGTATTTTTGCTGCTGACGGAGACAGGAACATTCTTGTCCAAATCGTCCTCCATTTTGTGTGTAGGTAGAATTTTATTTTCACCTTTTATTACATTATTCGAATCTGTCAGAAATCTTTTTGAATTATTTTTTGTGTCTGAAACGGATTCAGACAAACGCTTAGCGCCTGACGCCAACAGCTTAGCGTCAGCCATCTTCACTGGTGGCTTCACCAACCTGCCAACGACTTACCCTCTTCGTCTATTTAAAAATAGCGCCAACAATTTTTAATATCTTTCTTGTGTGAGTGGAAGTAACATTTTTTTTTTAACCGTGTTTTATTTTTATTTAAGATCTGTCTTTCGCAGAAAATTATTAAATTTCCTCTATGCCGTGGTAAGTAATATACTAGTTCTGTTGTTGTTTCAAAATAATATTAATATTTGTCAATATTGCAGAAACAAAGAGAACAGCAGGTGGCAGGGAAAAATGGTTATCGAAGATGGAGAGCCTGCTAATAGACCTCTGGCTGGAGAATATTGAAGATCTGCGTGGATCCCGTAAAAACTTTCACGTCTACATAGAGATTGAACAGGTCATGAAGGAGGCTGGGCTCGCGATTGGATGATTAGAATCTCTAACGAAAGTCGAAAAGCATGAGCTGTTTATTCATGGATGGTAGATGCTGCCAATGTGAACAAAAGTTTCACATCTTTAAAAAAATCCCAACGTTCCCCTTTGATGGGCACAGTGTGCAGAGCCTATTGTGTGCATATGTATGTGTATGTATTAATTTTTTTTGTATAAAAGGTTAACACAAACAAATATTATGTTCACTTAGTGTCTACCACATGGCACGTTGCACACCGGAGAGCTTGTTATAGTCTGCCAATTGGCGCCACACAATCCTGCTGAGGCGATATTTTTGGACAACTCCTCGCGGGCGTGACGTAAGTGCGCAGCGTTCCCGAACACGGACCAATGAAGAATCGCGGGGAAAAGCAGCAATTTCGGCATTGGCCATTTCTCGTAGCTCAATGGGCAGTATGTCGTTTTTCCGAAGTGAATTAACGCGAAGCCGCTCTTTGGAATGTTCACTGACGCACTTGCGTCGCTTGACATCACGGATCATCTTCCAGTCGGCATACTTTGTTCGCACTTGCTGCAACTATGTGTGTACCAGAATAGAAGCTCATTAAAGTCTAGAGATTGACGTAAAACTTACTCCAAATCCGGCGATCTTCCCGACATGACATGCGAAAACGCCTATTCTGCTCAAAGAACTCATGCTGTTGCTGTTAAATTGTGGTTTCTCCTACAAGGTTTTGGTCATATCGATATCGTTTACTTTAGTTATCGATAGGCGGATGGCGACAGCTGATTGAAGCCAACTATGGTGAATGGCTCATTTCTGTTAGCTTGGGTCATTTGCGTTATATTGTGGTTTAGTTTCAATTAAATGTAAGCAGAGAGAAAGCGCACAACACTGAAGACGTTAACTTTTGCCTCATGGTTCCATGAAATTCATGATATAGGGTAATTTTAATTAATAATCCAACGTTTTACATAACAAGTTTTGAGGCTATTTCTTTTTAAATTGACACTCCCTCCTCTCTGCCGCCCCCCCCCCCCCCCCCCCCCCCCCCCCCCCCCACACTCATACAATTACACCATTCACTCCAACACACTCTTTTATCAGCAGACCGAACCAACTCTTTTTCCTTCAATTGAATTTTTAAAATGGATAAATGTAAAGCTGTAATGTTTCCTTTATGTTGCGTGATGTTTTGATGTGATCCGCTTCAGTTCAAAATTAATTGATAATTTAGAGATTTAATCGAAATCTAATCACATCACCATGTTCATTGTCATTCACAGGGAAACGCGCCCATGCCGTGTGCATGTCAAAATTTCTAGTTCCTGGTGTGTTGCTGTCTCACCATCAGTTCGAAATTCTGCTCGTAATAGCAAACGTTTTTTTTTCGCTGTGTGTGCATATTTTTTGTGTATAAAATTGCATTAGTTAACTGATTCTTAAATTTCTTCAGCCGGGAGCCGCGTCCAAAAATTATCATTTCTAACAACAAAGCTTAGTTCGGTTAAAAGGCAAGACAACCGTCAGCAGCTGAAGAAGAAGCATTGTAGAGATGCCTTCCAGTGATCCACTGCCCCCTAAGGAGGGTGCGCTTTTCCGAAAGCTACTGGTAAGTTATAAACCAATTTTTTCCCACCCTCTTGCCCGCCGAAAAATTCCTTGCCGGCTTCAGTCTGTAACACTTGCCATTAACATCCATGTGCTTTTTTATGGCGTGCCTATTTTAGGCACTACTGTGGAATTAGCTAAAGCTAAAACCCAACCGTCTACATGAGTGTGTATGTACATATGTTTGTATGTATATTCTCAATTGGGAAGCGCAAACTCCCAAATCCGCAGCTTATAATGCACTTTGCAATATGGTATTATATTGGTGTTCTCGTCGGTCCCATAACCTCAAACTTTTTCATTGGGCGGGATGTATAAACTATTTTTGACTAATGTACCAATGCAATTTGTTTCTCTATTTTACTCTATTCTACTCTACTCTCTCTATTCTACTATTTGCTTCTTTGCTTTTACCCAGAAATGCTACGAACTAAAGCAGTACAAAAATGGCCTCAAGCTGGCAAAGCAAATACTATCAAACCCAAAGTACATGGAACATGGGGAGACACTGGCCATGAAAGGGCTCACTCTAAATGGTCTGGGGAGACGCGAAGAGGCATACAAGTATGTGCGCCTGGGTCTGCGCAATGATCTACGCTCTCATGTCTGCTGGCATGTTTATGGGCTTCTCCAGAGGAGTGATAAGAAATATGACGAGGCCATTAAGTGCTACCGCAATGCCCTTAAGTGGGAAAGAGACAATCTGCAGATTCTGAAGGATCTGTCGCTGCTTCAGATACAAATGCGCGATCTGGAGGGGTACAAGGAGACCCGTCATCATCTGTTCACCTTACGGCCCTCTCAACACGCTTCCTGGATTGGGTTTGCCATGAGCTATCATCTACTAAGGGACTACGAAATGGCCAACAACATTTTGGAAACGTTTAGTCAGTCTCAGACATCGATTGTATGTAACAGGAAACTACCTATTTATTCAATTCTTATAATCTGTTTCCAAATTTCCATATTTTACATCTCACTCCGCTGGCAGGAGGCGCACGACTATCGCCATTCGGAGCTGCTTCTTTATCAGAACCAGATACTCATCGAATCATCGCGACTGGAACAGGCCCTCGACCATTTGATCAAGTATAACGCACAGATTGTGGATAAGTTGGCCGTGCGCGAGACAATGGGCGATTTGTACATACAGTTGCAGCAGCATGAAATGGCGGTGCCCATTTTTGAATCGCTGATTCGTCGCAATCCCGAAAACGTACTCTACTACGAACAATACCTGTCCGCTCGACAGGTCTCAGAGTCCAGCGCTGTCGTGGCCGTTTACCGTGAGTTCCAGGAGAAGTACCCACGCGCGCTCTGCCCCCGCCGTCTGCCGTTAAACGTTGCAACTGGTTCGGAGTTCCGAACGGTAGCCGACGAGTACATGCGTAGAGGCCTTCGCAAGGGCATCCCGCCGCTTTTTGTTAACGTGCGCACCCTGCATCAGGAGTCTGAAAAAGCGTCTGTTATTGAGAAACTCACGCTGCACTACTTTGAAAATTTGTCACGTTCTGGCCACTTCTCCCGCAAGGATGCCGATTCTGGTGCGCCCGTTGAGCCGGCCTCTGCGCTTGTGTGGACGGCACTGTTTTTGGCGCAGCACTATGACTACATGCGGGACACAGATCGGGCCCTGGAGTACATTAATGTCGCCATCGACCACACGCCTACTTTGATCGAACTTCTTATAACTAAGGGACGTATTTTCAAGCATGCCGGCGATGCTGTTGAAGCTTATGTCTGGCTGGAGGAGGCTCAGAGTATGGATACAGCGGATCGGTAGGAATCTCATTTCATTAATCATAGACAAATTCAAAGTTAAACTAGATCCTAAAAGCCTTTGAAAAGCATTTTGAATTGAGTTAGTAACCTGAAATTGATTTAGCTTATATAATGAATATATACAAGTGGAGGGCAAGCACACATTCAAAAGTTTTTAGGTGCGTTTGTGAGCATATACAGCAGGCAAAACGGAACATTGTATTGGTGCCAACCACTGTAATACAAGTACATTTTTCTTATGCAAAATAGATAGCCGTGCAGTTCCGCCCCCCGTTATATACTCATTTTGTTATTATGCTCCTTGATTATGTCACTGAACTTACTATTTTATTTTAACTAGGTACATCAATTCAAAATGCGCAAAGTACATGCTGCGCGCTAACATGGTGCAAGAGGCGGAGGAAATTTGTGCGAAATTTACACGAGAGGGGGTCTCTGCAATGGATAATCTGAATGAGATGCAGTGCATGTGGTTCCAAACGGAATGTGCGTTAGCTTACCAACGAATGGGTCGCTGGGGCGAGTCATTAAAAAAGTGCCACGAAGTAGAGCGCCATTTTGCCGAAATTGTAGAGGATCAGTTTGATTTTCATACATATTGCATGCGCAAGATGACGCTTCGGGCTTACGTCGGTCTGTTGCGACTGGAGGATGTCCTGCGACAACATCCATTCTACTTCAAGGCTTCCAAATGCGCCATCGAGGTGTACCTACGTTTGTACGATAAACCTCTCAAGTTGGAAGCAGCCATTGAAGAGATTGACATTGGTATGTTGAAACCGCCAAACTAATAACACTATTTGTCAAAATCCAACTGTTTTTCCCTTCAAGGAATCAAACCTACCTTTTCTAAAAGATTTGAGGCATTACATTTTTTGAACGAGTTAGGGTTTTTATTTTATTGCAAAACTTATATTCTACGAATTTTTAAAAACTTATATTTTGTTAATGCTTTTTTTAGAGGTAGCGGTTCGATTTGGTACATAACTGAAGAATCTTAGATATGGTTGTTAAGAACATTGCCATTTTGAGAATATATTTGATGCAGCCAAAAGTTGCAGGCAGAAGGAAACGTTTCCGACCTTATAAAGTATACAAATATATTCTTGATCAGTATTAATAGCCGAGTCGATAAAGCGTTGTCTGTCTTTCCGTTCGTCAGTCTTTCCGTCCTTTCCGTATGCTTACACTGTAACAACTGTTATTCAACATTTTGCTTAATAAACGCTTAATTTATATTTCTAAATTTTCTAATCAACAATATGCTTGCATATTTCTCGATAAATATTTTGTTGTTATATTCTAGTAATACTAACATCAAATTAAGACATTTCTCATAATAATCGAAGCAGATTTCATGAATTTATTAAATAGTGACTATGTTGTACCTGAGACTGAAGAAACAATATCTATACATTTTTAATATTACTGTGTAGCTCACTGAAAATCAAAAGGTTACATTCATAAGTATAACATATGTACATTGTATCCCACTAAGGTTACATACAGTTGCGAAAAAAATAATAGCACAACACATTTTGTTCCTGACCAAAACAAAGCAATTACTGTTGCGATTTACAATTTTTTTTTAATATTTTCATATAGTTTAGTATTCCTCATTAACAAAAAAAGTTGTACCTGTTTTTAAATTTCTGTCTTTATATTTTATACCCGGTACGCGAAGAGTAAATAGGGTATATTGTATTTGTGCGAATAATGGTTTATGTATATAAATTATAAAGTATATAAATTCTTGATCAGCATCAATAGCCGAGTCGATTGAGCCATGTCTATCTGTCCGTCTGTCCATTCTGCTGAGCGACTAATACTCGGACTCTATAAGAGCTAGAGCCACCAAAATTTTGCATCCAGACTTCTGTATGCTCACACTGTTGCAAGTTTATTTAAAAAATGGGCCCCCCTTCCGCCCAAAGAAAAGGACGGAAACGTCCCAAATCTTAAATTTTGAAGATAAAAGAAAACGCCATTCCGTAGGGAATGACCATATCTATTAGATCACCAAATTGGGATCCGATTGGATGATTATGATAGCCAGAATAAAGAAATTAATTTGCAGGGGCAGTGGTATAAAAGTTGTGACGCGTAAGAAGTGTCTCACACGTTCCTTCTTGTTTCTATTCTAGTCACACTAACTTCAAATTAAGACATTTCTCATAACCGAATCAGATTTAATGAATTTATTAAATAGTGCCCATGTTGTACCTGAGACTGAAAAAACAATATCTAGAAATTGTAAATATTATTGTGTAGCTTACTGAAAACGATGCTTCTTATCTAATTGAAATATGATAAAGTGTGTATTAAATTATATTTTGA